AAGCTGCTTTGATACAATCTGTATTGTGAAAAGCGCTATTATAAATAAATGTGACTTTGACTTGACTTGACTTAAATAAAATATTGTCCGATTTCCTGTGGCAGTTGTTTTCACAACATTTACATGAATAGGTAAACAAACAAACAACAAAAAATACATGTATTTGGCGTGCTGTCCAAGGGGATCAAGGCTCCGATCTCGGATTTAGTAAGACAGTAAAGCAAATGTCTTTATTAATTCAAATATCTTGTATTATTTTCAATCTACACTTAATACATGCATCCTGTCACGTAAACTGACCTGTCAATCATCTTGTCACAGTTAAAAATCCTCCACACATTTCATTTCATTTCATTTCCTACCGAATCAGAGATAAATGGAATAGCTTGTTGATCTGCAGTCATGCTTCTTTCATGTGGAGCACTCTCCTCTTATTAATGCATAGTGATTCATTTAAAAGTTAATGGCCAAAAGGATCTTTATGAAAGTTGATTTGTTATTGCATTACACATTGACATTGTTTAGATTAAATATAACTAAATAATTAAATATAATTTTTTTTTTTTTACCAGGTTAAACTTAGTTTAGATTAGTCACTCAAACCTTTATCTAAACATTTCACTGTCAGTCGCACATATTCGTGTTTTGTCGTTATTTAAAAGTATTTCCCTCCAAGCACAATGGGTTGTGGGCAACATTAACCCTTACGGTGCTTTCACACCTGGATCGATCGATTGAGACGTGGTTCCGAAACAAAGGGGCGTTTCCCTTTTGGGGCCTGGTTCGTTTGGTCATATGTGAACACACCACAATACAACCGAGCGGGTGGTCTCGGCTCGATTCTATACGAACCCTGGAGCGGTTCGTTTGTAGTGAGAACACAATCGACCCACGAAACCGGAACAAATCAACTTTCTTATCACTTGTACCTCCACTTTTGCCAAGGTGGTCTCGTACCTTTATGTACTGCTGTCAGAGTTTTTTCGCCTTTGCGCGGCACTGCTCGACGGACCGTTCATAACCCCTCTCTTTCATTTTATAGCTTATTTCTTGTACACTTCGGTGTTCTTTGTGTGTAGTGTCCAACATCCAGGAGATGTATTCTTCCGACCAAATATATTGAGGCATTTCACTTCTTCGTAGTACCAAGTCAATCCGCGATTCAGTTTGTGTTAGGCTACTGTTGTCATGGCGATGTCCCACAATGGAACGCGTGACCTGCACGCTTGAGGTTCTGACGTAATGGCGTAAGGAAAGCCCAGGAAGGTTGCGCAATTTGGAACGCTTTACAACAGTGTGGTGCGAACAGAGTGACGTATTAAATTGATTCAGAACAAAGTATTCTGTTTCGGATCTGTTCCGGAACAAAACAAATTGATCCAGGTGTGAAAGCACCCTGAGAGTGTGCACGGATCCACACTTCAAAAATCTACTGGAAATAGTAGACAATTCCAGGTTCCATTCCAACTCTTTTCAACATACTATGCTTTGGTACACACTAGTTAGGATGAATAGTATGGAGAATGGGATTCAAGGTATGATTAAATCGCTGACATATGATTGGCTATAACATCTTTGTATATGAGATAGCTAAGTGCATGTGAAACTTTCGAAAACTTTTAGCACATTTTTACAGATGAACTTATCGTGAAAAGTGTTGATTATATTTATATTGAAATCAATGTTGTGCTCTTATATCAGAAATCACTGGTCACTTCTGATTTTGACACGTACACACAGCTTGGTGACTTTACTCTCGTTTCTTTAGTTCAATACAATGCATGTTAACAAATATATAGTTATTCCAACCGGTGCTGTCTCTTTTTATCTGGTGCATGAGCGATGCCCCATTTACAAATGAAATCACTTTTTTGAGTCAATTCTGTTCAAAGCCTTGATCCCACAAGTTGGCAAAACTGCTTGAATTGGTTCACTTCCTCGTCTTTTATCCTGTTTTTGTGCTTGTACTTGTGTTTGGATTGTTTTGGATTTTGACCTCTGCCTGGATGACTATGAGTTTGGATTGCCCTTTTATTAAACTACTGCTTTTGGATTCTCTGGTTCCCGTGTGGTTATCGTGACAGAATGCCCCACCACTGGTGAATCAATGGCACCTCCTCCTAAAAACACACACAAAAAATAAAAAATACATATTTGATACATATGAGTTTGATGGGACACTTGTGTGAAAATCCAGCTTACCTCTGTGAATATTAATGGACAGGAAGTACAGGTACTGAGAGCATACTGTGAAATACAAATAACACTGTAAGACTTTGTTTTTATTATCTAAAAGCTCTGACAAATTAATTATTTTGAACATCAACATGTAAACAGCACAGGAATTCTCTGAACACTGTTGAAGAGAAACCTGTAAAAGGGAAAGTCTACCTAAAGTCATTTTAAAAACAACTGTTAGCTTGTTTAAACATTTCTACATGCATACTTAAATTAGCTTTACACAATTCCATCCTTTAAAACATACCCCAAGGTCTCTTCCTGTTTTTTCAGTCAAACAACTGTTAGCTTGTTTAAACATTTCTACATGCATACTTAAATTAGCTTTACACAATTCCATCCTTTAAAACATACCCCAAGGTCTCTTCCTGTTTTTTCAGTCCAGGATCCTGGGTCAATGGAGCATGCAACGTGCCTGGATTTCCAAAGAAAACACAAAATGCATAATATGTAAGTAATTTATCAGTGTAATAATATGTAATTATATAACGTATGCTGATAACAAGGCTTTCAAATGAACTTTAAATGAGCCTGAGAATGAGGATCTTATGTGAACTTGAAGTCTGAGAACGAGGCTTTTATGTGAACGAAGCCTGAGAACGAGGCTCCCTTTGAAAATTGTAACTAAATAACATGCCTGGAACAAGGCTAGTAAATTAATTATCTTTTGTCTCAACCTAAACGTGGTTATGTAACTGTCATCTCCAAAACCACCAGGGTGAAGAGAATTGAAGAAAAGTATCTCCCTTTTAGCTACCAACATAACTTGCAATGGGCATTTTGTTAATATCCATGAAAATAGAATGCACTTAACCATACCTTTTGAATTTAAAATGTTACAGCTAGAAAGATTATAGAAAAAAAGTCAATACAGAGCAGATAATGATCCACTTTATCCAGCTGTCTGCTCCAAGCTGGAAATAGTATGAAATCCTTGGACCTCATGTTTTCCTAATAGTATTGGAACAAAATATTAGTCAAGTCACATTTATTTATATAGTGCTTTTTACAATACAGATTGTATCAAAGCAGCTTCACAGTGATAACATGAAAGTAATACAATACAGATCAATAATATTGTTGTCACCACCCATGGACTGTCTGTGTTTTGATTCATCACGTGTTCCCCTCGTCTGAGTTCTCCGCCCTCATCTGTTTCCATGGACACTAACCACCTCCCGCACAGCTGATTGTCATTTGTTTATCACCGTCACTGTGTATTTAAGTTCCTGCCTGTCTTCACTCCCTGGTCCGGTATTGTTTGTGTGTTACCTGCTGTCATCCTGTCTGCCTGTTTCCGAGTTTCATTTATCAAAATATCAGTGTTAATTCTACCCTCCTCGTCGTCCTCCTTGACCAGCCCGTGACAGAATACCGGACCAAAATTCAAGATGAACATCGATTTCATCAATCTCGCTGAATTATCATCAGATTTTGTTTCGTTTTCCAGAGACTTTGTTCCCCTTGCACTCTCCAGCCCCCTCGATGATGAAACCCTGAAGACCCTGTTCTGGATCGGGGCCACCTACCACCAGCACTTCGACCTCCCAGACACCTCTAACCTGGACTGGAAGGAGGCCGTTTCCCGGTGTCTGGAGAGCATCGAAGCCCGATCCAGAACACTGCCAGACCCAGAGCCGGAATTACCACCCTTGACCGCGGAGATCTCGTGCGTGCCCCCCGCAGACGGAGAGCTACCACCCACCGTGACGCGTCAACCAGTGCCCGAGACGAAGAGGACAGAGTTGACCCTCGCCCCGGAGGAGGAGCTCCAACAGGAGTCTGACCAGGGGTGTGAGCCCACTACATCTGCGGACGAGGGGACTAATTTCCTGGAACTGGAGGACTGGCTGATGAAACCCAGGACACTGGATATCGTTCCCGCCCCATCCCACCCGTCATCGGCATCTATTTCATATTTTCAACCAGCCTGTGATGACTTCTGTCCTGCCGTCTGTCTGATTCACTCCATCCCATCACCGTTCCCAGTCAGTCCTCCAGCCTCGCCGCTGCTGGATGTGCGCAGCCCTGCACCATCTCCGTGGGGAGTCCCCGACGTCGAGCGGCAGGTCAGCCCACCATCTGCGGCGCCTGTGTTCGAGGATCCCACGGCTTCGCCTCCAGCCTCGGTCCTCGGCACTCCATCTCGGCCAGTCGACCTGCCGGCTCCGTCTTGGCTCCTCCCACCTGCGCCTCCACCTGAGACCCTCGAAGCATTGGCTACAGCGGGTTCCCTCGTCCTGCCGGCTCCCCCTTGGTCAGTCGTCACTCTGCCTGCGCCACGGACTTGCGGTCAGTCTGCTACGCTTGATCCCTCCACCCCTTCGGCTTCAGCGGGCTCCTCCTTCCCTGTGGCGTCTCCTCTGTCCTCCCTCACTCCACCTCCACCTCAGCTCTCGGGCACTCTGGCTACGGCTCCAGCGCTCGTCGCCGCTACGTCACCGGGGTCTCCCATACCGGTGACATCGCTTGAGTCCACCGGCTCTCCGTCTGCGCCGAGAGATCCTGCCACCGAGTCTCCGTCGGTCATCCCCCAGCTACCGTCAGTCCCCTCGCCATCTGGTTTCTTCCCTCCGTCTTCTCTGCCATCGGCTGTCGGTACTGGGAGGCTCTGGGTCTGCGCCACCGCGCCATCCCCATCAAGGCCGCCAGGGAATCGTCATCGTCCCCTCACCGTTCCGTCACTCCAGCCTCTCGTCTGTGATTCACCATCGTCTCGTCCTCCACCTGAACCTCCCCCGGTTCCCCCTCCGTCATTTTGCCACGGCGCGAGGTCGCGCCTTGCCGGAGGGGGCGATCTGTCACCACCCATGGACTGTCTGTGTTTTGATTCATCACGTGTTCCCCTCGTCTGAGTTCTCCGCCCTCATCTGTTTCCATGGACACTAACCACCTCCCGCACAGCTGATTGTCATTTGTTTATCACCGTCACTGTGTATTTAAGTTCCTGCCTGTCTTCACTCCCTGGTCCGGTATTGTTTGTGTGTTACCTGCTGTCATCCTGTCTGCCTGTTTCCGAGTTTCATTTATCAAAATATCAGTGTTAATTCTACCCTCCTCGTCGTCCTCCTTGACCAGCCCGTGACAATTGTTGAATATTAAATGTCCCCAACTAAGCAAGCCAAAAGCAAGGCAACAGTGGCAAGGAACCAAAACTCCATCAGTTAATTGAATGGAGAAAAAAACCTTGGGAGAACCCAGGCTCAGTTGGGGGCCAGTTCTCTGGCCAACGAAGGAACAGTGATTACTAGAGTTTTAGAGAAACTAGATTACTACATTATTAGAGAAACTGATATTAGCGTAGATGCCATCCTTCTTTTGATGTACCAAACTACATCAGGATTTACGGGACGTGTTCCCAGTTCCGGCTGATCTAAACTATGCAGCCTAATTTAGGAAGTCTATAGTGTGTTATGTGTATGCTAGGCCAAAGAGATGTGTTTTTAGTCTAGATTTGAACTGACAGATTGTATCTGCTTCCCAGACAATGTTTGGAAGATTGTTCCAGAGTTTTGGTGCTAAATAGGAAAAAGATCTACTACCAGCTGTCGACTTTGATATTCTAGGTAGACTGGCCGGAGTTTTGAGATCGCAATAGACGTGAAGGACTATAATGCGTTAAGAGCTCGCTCAAGTACTAAAGCTAAACCATTCAGTGCTTTATAAGTAATCAGCAATATTTTTAAAATTTATACAATGTTTAATAGGCAGCCAATGCAGGGTTGACAGAACCGGGCTAGTATGGTCATACTTCCTGGTTCTGGTAAGAACTTGAGCGGCTGCGTTTTGGACTATCTGAAGTTTGTTTATTAAGAATGCAGGGCAACCACCCAGTAGAGCATTACAATAATTTAGCCTTGATGTCATGAACGCATTAACTAATTGTTCCGCATTTGCTAATGAGAGCATATGGCGTAATTTAGATATATTTTTAAGATGGAAAAATGCAGTTCTACAGATACTAGACACATGACTTTCAAATGAGAGAGTAGTATCAAAGAGCACACCCAGGTTCTTAACCGACGACGAAGACTTAACAGAGCAGCCATCAAGTGTTAGGGAGTATTCTAGGCTGTTACGTGAGGAAGTTTTGAGCCCGTTCTCATCCCAAAGCGCCATATAGGACGCTTTTGCAAAAGCATAAATATCCAACGCACATGGCACCCTTTAACGTCAAATGAGACGCAGATATATTTGGGCAGAAGGCGCCCCCTAGTGGTCTAACCCTTACCCTACACCATACCTAAACTTAACCATACCCGAAGCGTCTCATTAGACGTTAAAGGGTGCCATGTGCGTTGGATATTTACGCTTTTGCAAAAGCGTTGTATATGGCGCTTTGGGATGAGAATGCGTTTAAGTTTTTGGTAGCATGTACAGAGTTAATAGCAGCGGTCCTAGTACTGAGCCTTGTGGTACGCCATACTGAAATTGTGATCGATAAGACATCTCTTCATTTACTGCTACAAACTGATAACGGTCAGATAAGTATGATTTAAACCATGCTAATGCAGTTCCACAAATGCCAACATAGTTCCCTTTCGTAGTCACTTCGAGTTACGTCAAAAGTGACGGAGAATGGGGGTTTCGCAAAGAAAGCCAATCCTCTTCGAGTATTTAACAACGAGCCAATGGCATGAAAATGCTGCGGAATTTGCATAGCGTATCTCCGCCCCACGCAGTGGGTATAAAAGGAGGAAGTGAACGCAACCGCAGTATGTTTTCGCTTCGGAGCCAAGAGACCTCTTCACTCCTAAAGCCATTCTCACTGATTCAAGACTCTTCGAGACGAGCGTCCTCTTCAGTGTTGGTGTGATGGCGGTACCCAGCGAGATTCTGCATCGCCTGCGATCTGAGCAGTGGTCTGCCAGACTTTGCGCTTCTCCCTGGTCGCCTCAGCGCTGAAAGAGTGAATTTCCTCCTCTCATTGAAAGAGCTGCACGTGGCACGTCTTTTTAAAGATGTCTCGCCCATGTTCTTCTGGGTGCGGTCGATTCATGTCGTCTTCTGATGGTCACGATCGCTGCTCTGTTTGCCTGGGCATTCAGCATGCAGCAGCAGCGTTCGTGGATGACTCATGTTCCTTCTGTGGGAAACATGACCATCTCTACACTGAGATCTAGACTCAATGATCTGACTAAAGTGAGAGTCCCCGTCCCGCTACTCAATCTGCTTCTTCCACGAGAAGCTCTTCGACTCGCGGGCAGGATGATCTGACGGTGACGGTGTGGAACAAAGCCCCGACGATAGTTCCTCGGGCCACACCCCCGCTCCAGTGTTAGAGCCAGCGAGCGCCAGTTCGAATCAGCCGTCTGCCTCTTCGCAGGTACCGTCTGTTTCGTTCGGCGCTCCAGAGGATGATGCGATGTCAATCGCAGCATCACAAGGCGGGCTTGATTCCTAGGGAGATGAGGATGCGGCTGCGTTGCCTCCCTCGGGAGTGCCAGCGT